CAAGTTTTACTTAGTTTCATTGATGCTGTTATTTGCAAGTTGGCCCACCTCGAATGGGTTCATTTCAACAAAAGGCTCTAGAATCTGTTCACATTGTAAAGCAGCGGGAGTCCCATTAGTGCCCTCAGGCTCCTTTGCTGAAGGTGCTTTAGCAGCTTCCTCTCAGGCCTCATGAGGTCCCTAAATTGCTCCTGAGCTTCTGATGCCAGAAACTGTCCTCCTTGGTGCTGCTCCGTGCACCATTAGAATAGCAATTGCTGCCTACATACTGGGCTCTCTTGGAAATAGAGGCTCTTATGGGTCCTGAGCCTGTGACCTTCCATACGCAGCTCCCCATTATGCCTTGGGTCCTGGAGTCAGTGCCCTGTAGGTTCTGCACAGCTAGTGAGGCCACCTCAATGCAGGGTGGAGCCGCACTTGGGCCCTCTGGCATACCTCACCTGCAGGAGGGGGTGCCTTCCTTTGTCATCAGTCTCTTGCCAGATACGCTGGTATTAGAGGAGGTCCTCTGTCTCCCAAACTTCTGGGCTACCCGGGGAGCCCCTTGAGATTAATTGAGTGAACAGAAATGGGATTTTCTAGACTTTTTAGATGGCATTACCACCATTATAGAGCTCAGTGGAATGTTGCTGCTTTCCACCCTTTAACTGGGATGCCCCTGATCAAGTGCAAGATCAGGGGGCAGCACCAGTGGCCATGTTCAGGCAATCTTCCTAGCACTGGATGCTGGCCAACAAACGGCTCTATGGGTACATTTTTATAATCTCTTGGGCCATTGCCTAAGAATTGACCCTTTGGGGTAAAGACCTCTGGGATTCTCTTGGCTCACAGATACCCATAATCTAAATCAAAGTAACAAATTGTCTATACATATACTTAGGCCCCAATACAAGGCCTCACCGGGGCACGCTTTACCGACCCAACATTTCTGATAGTGACCAAGGCACTTCTCAGAATGCTCAATGGTGAGGTTTTGAAAAGGATATTAAATGTAAATTCTACCTCCCGTCTAGGCCCCAGGCAGCTGGTTTAATTGGGAGATATAGTGGGCTCCTCAAAGAATTCTGATTTAAGAAATAAAGTAGTAAGTGGACCTCCTGGGTGTTACTATTGCCAAGGCATTGATTAAATTTATGCCCCCTGGGTACATCACTACCCACACCAGTGCCATGCAGGTTTCTCAATCGTCTTCAGTGGCCATAAAGGGGACAGCTAAATTTTATGTTTTTGATGACCACCTTACCCTGGGGCCTTCTCTTTCCTAGTCAAGTGCTTTCTTCACTTCCCAGGGGGAGGCATTTCTATATCCTAGAGGTCTCAGTCATCACCTGGTTTAAATTGATGTCAGTTTAACCTCCATGAAGTACATATTCACACCTTGTCTGCCATGCTTAGATTTCTGTACTCTACCTGGAACAAAGCTTGGCATGTAATTGTCCCATTTTAGCATAGTATCTGTTGGATGGATGGATGGTGATTCCCAGGACTCTTTCTTTTCCTTCTATGCATCTTTAAAAATTCTTTCATGCACCTTCTGTTCTTCTGTCATGCAGTAATTCTCTAAGCGCATTATCCACGGCTCTCTTATACATTCACAAGACTTGAAGCTTATGACTCCCAAATTACATCGCTGTCTCATTTGTCCTGTTTGCTCTAGAGTCCTACAGTATTTTACCTACCTACATTAAATCCCTCTTGGGTTCTAATCCTCACTTTCTCAATATAGCAAAAGCTAAAAAATAAAATTATACTCACAAATCTTAAATTTTCACTTCCCATTTTTTTTATTCATTAGGTCTACTATAACTGACAAAAATAAAATCCTTTAAATGTTTCAGCTCTATCACTCTCTTATTGTTCTCTTGCAGTTCTTGTTTTACTTTTGTAAAGTGTCTTTCACATTTCCTCATATTCTTACTTTCCGCTGACATCATCCACACGCTTAGGGTGCTTAGGTTCATGCTTTGATTGATCTCCTTCATAATGTGGATCAGACTTTTTAAACCTTTAAAGCGTCTGATTTATCTTGATTCTAGCCTGACAGGATAAACCTATGACTGCCCCTGTTACCCAACACCTGCAATGTAAGTTCCTCTTTAATGAGCATCAAATATGGCCACATTTAGCCCGACCAAATTAATTTTTCTCGATTTGTCTCCCAGATGTTCCTCAAGCCATAGTGCTTCCTGCCTTGTTTGCACTTTTCATTCCAGTGTGTATCCTCTCGGTCCAGCTGGTTACACGAATCAGTAGGTGAAAAGCACTTGAAACAGTGCCTGACATATAACAGTGCTGCTGTTCTTGATACATACATTCTAGGTTTGAATGCAAGTTTTCTGGTTTTTCTCATGAAATATCCATCGACTACATTATTCCTATACACTTAATGGCTATAGTTAAGATATTTAGATTTGGTCATGCATTCTGATGCCTGACCGGATTTAGTGCTTGACTGAGTTTTCTTTTTCCAGTTGGATTTTTTTTTTTTTTTGAGACAGAGTCTGGCTCTGTTGCCCTGGCTAGAGTGCCATGGCGTCAGCCTAGCTCACAGCAACCTTAAACTCCTGGGCTCAAGCGATCCTCCTGCCTCAGCCTCCCAGAGTGCTAGGATTACAGACGTGAGCCACCGTGCCTGGCCTTTCCAGCTAGATTTTGATACCCCCAATGACTCCTCTTTTAGTCTTCCTCTACTAGGTAATGTATAATAGATACTTGATGATTACTTTGTTGATTGTATATAACCTGGGAGGAGAGAATTCTGACATTTATTCATTCAGAAAACCAAGGAACTCTATGTGTAGACATGCTCAGGTCAAAATCTTCAGCTTCTTAATTATTAGATTAAATTGGCAAGGAGTCTGTGTTTTGAAATAGCTTTTGAAGAAATTGTGATATATACCACTTATTAGTATATGTTCATGGCTTTACTATCCATTCAGATAATTTAAAGAAAATTGGGGCTGTCATGATACCTTCCAGGAGATTAGGTTGTATTTGTCACAAAATAATAAAAGTAGCATTAAAATACTTTAAAATTTATTTAGAAAGGAATATTTGTTATAGAGCAATGCTATACCAAGTGATACAGTTACCCTTTTAACTGGAAAAGTTTAAGAAGACTTTTCTTGATATTATGGGATAGTTGCCATTTCTTGAAGGCCGGCCAGCTTCCGAGTAAGGCTAATATTGAAAGGTGTGGTACCCAAGTGGGTGCATATAAATGCAGGTCTGTGGTTGGGGATGAACAACTTATAGGAGACACATTTTCTGGGTTGTGGAGAGCAGAGGATAGTGATTGTGGCCATAAGGAATGACTAGTTGCCAATAGCAAGTGGAATCCAGTTGTCAGGTTTGGTCTGTCAGAGTGAGGACATTATCTGTTTTATTTCTTGGTACTTTGGGACAGTAGGCTCAGGGATGTTGTAGGTTTTGAGCATAGAATTGGTAATATTGAATCAAATATGGGTAGGAACAGGGAGATACCTGTCACAGTCAAAACTTTTTATGATAAAAAGATACAGTTGATTCTCTTGATTCACAGTAGTTATGTTCTAGAAAGTCACCATAAGCACTGAATTACTGAATACTGAACCGTTGCTTCTAGGAGAAATATAAGGTTAAGTTCCTTCAAGCCTCTACCCATAACATTTTTTTTGTCAGCTGATTGACACATAATCTTGCTTTATGTGAGTTTCTTTTTAAAGGTACCTTATTTAATATATATTGTTGATTTATTAACATTGAACTCATGGACAATAGCACTACAACTTATGCCTGAATAAAACTTATTTAACACACGTATTTTCTCCATAAGGTACCTCCTAGCCTTCTCATGCTTAGGAACACTGGAGACAGTACTTCAGCCCTATACTAGGGATCCATTTTAAACAGTGAAAACAGTTATCGTATGAGAACTGAAACGAGAAGGTAGAGCATTTACCTGGGAATGTGTGTCAGGTGACTGAAATTTTTTTGTGCTTTGTGCATGTCTTGTGACCACAAAGGCGCCAAGAGTCTTGATTTTGGGTTTACAAGTAAATTTTAATGAGTAGATGAATTTGCAGTTGTATAATCTGTGAATCATGAGGATCAACTGTATATAGATTAATCAAGATTCTAAGACTAGGTTGAAGATTACGATCTTTAAAGTTCACACAGGAAAGAGAAACCAGAAATGCTGAAATAAATAATATATAGTTTTCATGTATAGGAAAAGTGAAGGATTAGGGTTCTGTGAGGGGCAAGACTTTGTGAAATAAGCAAATTGACAAAAATAGGGCTTTAACAAGTTCATTAATGAACAACTGTGGTAGAAGAAAAGGAAGACACAACAGCAGAATAAAACTATGCAGCTGATCTTGCTTCCATACCCTAAATGTATGCTGTTTTTTTGACACTGGCTTTCCATATGAATCAGCTAGAATGAAAATTACAGTTTGGGCAATAGGATTTTTCTTTTGAACGTGGGAAATTATTGCTTTCAGATATTGTAATTTGGTGTTGGTGAGCAGAACAGAAAAGAGTAGTGAGAGATTGGAAGCATGCGTGTTAGTAAGGATTCTGTGGCAGGAGGTGGGACTTAGATATTTATTTCCTTCCTCCAAACTTAAATTTTCCTTTGCTATTGCCCCTCAACACTGTTGCCTACTAATATTTTTTGCAATTCTACCTACTATTCATTGCTTTGTTTTGTTTGTTTCCCTCTTCATGCCTCAAACATTCATTCAGAAGTACCTTGTTTGTTGTATTTTGTGTTTATTTCACTTTCTCCATCCAGTTTTCGAAAGTGCCAAATTACCGTGCTTTTATTTTCAGATTCCTCTCCTGTTTTCCACTACTGCAGGTTGTTTTGTCCAATACTAAGAGAGCGAGGTATATGCCCTCAGGGTTACTTTCAGACCAGAAGACTGGGCTATGCTAGGGCATTTGTATATTAAGTCCCCTTTCTACATGAAATGTATTAACATTTGTAAGGTATGGTAAATTATTCTCATTTTTAGAATTCTGGAAAGTTGATGACCTGATGGAGAAGAGCCAGGAAAACCAAGACCAGCATTTGTGGAAAGTTGATTTTGTCACCAATAAAACATTGACTAAGGAGAGAAATAGTGTATTAGGAGAAACATTTAGTGTGGACACAAACTCTGTTCCAATGAGAAAAATACCTGATAAATATGACTCATATATAATGAATTTGAATATTTCAGAATTAATCATTAGTAATAGAAACTCCTTTGTAAGGAAGCTTGAGTTCAGTGCACATGAGAAGTTGCTTCTCTGTGCAAGGCATGAGAATCCTCATGCCAGAGAGAAACCGTTTGAATATGATAGAAATGGGAAAGCCATCAATCAGAATGAGGACCTATTTCAGCATCAGGACATTCAAACTCTGAAGCAGTTTTTTGAGTATAATGAGCGTGGGAAAGCTTTCCACGAGGAGACAGCCTTCATTACCCAAAAGAGAGCGTGCTCATGGGAGAAGCCCTGTGAATATAATGAACATGAGAAAGCCTTTTCTGATGATTTGAACCTTCTTGTCCATCAGAGAATTCACACAAAGGAGAATCACTATGAATTTAATGACCGTGGGAGGAGGTGTGTTGGTGAGAAGCCAACTCTAAATAAACAGAATAGAGTTATCATAGGGAAGGAATACCATGAGTGTAGGAATAATTTTGACAAGAAGTCACTCCGCGCTCACGCTGAAAGAACTCACAAAGGAGAAACAAACTTTGAATGTAATGACGGTGGGGAAATCTTTGAGAAACCAAATCATTCTCTCCAACAAACACATGCAGAAAAGAAAACCTTTGATGATAGCCAGTATGGGAATTCCTTTTGGCATATATCAGTTCTTCCTAAACATCAGCAAACACACATAGTAGAAAAACTCTATGAATGTAATGAGTGTGGGAAAACTCTCAGCCACAGGTCATCTCTCATAGTACATAATAGGATACACAGAGGGGAGAAACCTTATGAATGTACTGAATGTGGAAAAACCTTCACGAATAGGTCAGGACTGAAAGTTCATCAGAGGATACACACAGGACAGAAACCCTATGAATGTGTTGAATGTAGGAAAGCCTTCAGATATAAGTCAGGCCTCACAGTACATCAGAGAACACACACAGGCGAGAAACCCTATGAATGTGATGAATGTGGAAAAAAATTCTGTGAGAAGTCAAATCTCCGTGTACATCAGAGAACTCACACAGGGGAGAAACCCTATGAGTGTAAAGAATGTGGAAAAACCTTTGTTTACAATTCATTCCTGATGGTACATCAAAGGATACACACAGGTGTAAGACCCTATGAATGTAATGAATGTGGGAAAACATTCTCCCAAAAGCCGAACTTTACTTATCATCAGAGAACTCATACTGGAGAAAAACCTTATGGATGTAAGGAATGTGGGAAATCTTTCTCAGTGAAGTCAAAACTCACTGTGCATCAGAGAACTCACACAGGGGAAAAACCCTTTGAATGTAATGAGTGTGAGAAAACCTTCTTCCAAAAGTCATCTCTCATAGTACATCAGAGAACACACTCAGGGGAGAAACCATATGAATGTAATGAATGTAGGAAAACTTTTTCCCAGAAGTCATCCCTTACTGTACATCAGAAAAGACACAAAAGGGAGAAACCATATAAATGTATTCAATGCAGCAAAACATTTAGTCAGACATCAGCTCTTACTAAACATCAAAGAACTCATGCAGGAGAGAAACTATATACATGTAATGAATGTGGTAAAACTTTCTTCCACAAGTCATCCCTCACAGTACATCAGAGAACCCACACCGGGGAGAAACCCTACAGGTGTAATGAATGTGGGAAAACCTTCCACCAGAAGTCGTGTCTCACAGCACATCAGAAAACACACAGAAGGCAGAAATCCTGTGAACCTACAAATGTGGAAAAGCCTCTTATCAGAATTCACTAATCCAAGAAAGTACAGAGAGACGGAATCCCTGTCAACATCCTGAATGTCAAGGAACCTTTTCTTACTTGACTTACTCAGTTTACATTAGAAATAGTGAAGGGAAGAAATTTGATAAATAGGAAACGTACCTTGCCCAGAAATAAAGTACCATCTCAATGAGTAACAGATATTTGATATTAGGAATATCTTATGAATATTTTGACTATATTATAGCTTTCAAAATCATTGATTCTTGATCGTATATCAGAAGTTTTAGCTGACTAGAAATATACCAATTTGGGAATTAAGCATAAAAAAATCCCCTCTAGAAATATACTAAATGTTTGTTTCTGATACGATACCAAAATTTTACTGAAAGTATTATGTACGTGTAATCATTGTGTAGTAGGAAGGTAATTGAAAAGCACAGTTAAGTTGAGTGATTGTAAATATTATAGTAAACACAAATGCAAAGGGCCACTGAGTTATGTGAATGTGCTTTATAAGAAATACTGTGTGGGTTGATTTTCTTACTGGAACTCATAGTCTTATGTAAATGTACATGTAGTTTAATATTTTTTATGATGTGTTTAAAATTTCCCACACTAATATTTGTTTCAGCCACAAGAACAAAATGTACATTTTAAATAAAATATTTGTGGAGTATAAATTTGTATACTAAAATTTTTCTTGCTACTCTCTCAGTATGTACATGTATGTGTTGCCATTATTACTAAACTACCTCCCCAGTAAAGAATCCAGACAGTGTGTTTATAAACTCACAGACACCTAAATGGAATAGTAAACTGTACAACAATTAAACAGAAAATTTATTGAAAAGAATTTTGCTTCCACCTGTGAACTTCTGTAGCATTTGCTGTCTTAATGTAAACAATTGGAAAACTGGGCAAGATATATGAAATAATTGGAAAAATGAAACAATATATGAATAGCTGTTTTAAGCCATTGGACATTAGGAATTGTACAACCACAGTTCCTGAGAGGAGGCGGCAAATGTGGTCATCCCTACGACTGCTCCATCTTCCTGTCAAGAGGAAACTCCCAGACTAGGAATTTGCAGACATAGGTAGGGATAATTCCAAAATACTCTTACTCAACAAAGCACAGATATTTCAGACTGTAGGAATCTTAAAGCAGCTGTGAGATGTTGGGTGGCATACTGGCAAGGGAGCTAGTGGAGAAAGCTTAATGTGGGTACCAATCTGCATAGGCAAAGGGTGAGGCTCTTTATGGCCTGGCAAAGAACCGCTGCTGCTGAAGAAACAGTTACTGGGGAACTCAAAGACACTTCCCAGAGTTCACCAGCCAAGGCCCTTCCTCCTTCAGATGGTAAGGTCACAGTCTCTTCCCCCTTTGGTATGCTTTTTGAAGACCCCATGTGAATGGGAGTGAGCAAGAGTTGGAGCTGTTTGTGATGCTGTATTAGTGTTCTTGGGGTGCCGTAACAAAATAACACACACTTGGTGGGTGACTTAAACAACAGACTTTTATTTTCTCACAAGTGATGGAGGCTAGAAGTCCGCGATCCAGGTGTTGGCAAACTCCATTTGGGAAAGGGCTTCCTGGGTTTCAGACAGTCTCTCACCATAGTCTCACAGGGCCTTGCCTCGGTGCACGCATGGGGAGAGTGCACGAGCTCTCTCATGTCTCTTCTTACAAAGACGCTAATTCTATTGGATCGGGGCCCCCCTCTTATAACCTCATTTAACCTTCCCTACTTCCTTAGAGGTCCTGTCTCCAAATAAAGCCATACTTGGGGTTAGGACTTCAACGTATGAATTTTGGAGGGACGCACTTAGTTTATAACATTCTGCCCCAGCCCCTCAAAATCCATGTCCTTCTTGCATTCAAAATACAATCACTCTAGCCCAGCAGCTCCAAAAGTCTTAGCTCATTCCAGCATCATCTCTGTATGTCTGAAGTCCAGTATTTTATCTAAATATCATCTAAATCAACTTCAAGGTATGATTCTTTCCAAGTCAGAATTCCCCTACAGCTGTGAATTTGTGAAAACAGACAAGTCGTGTACTTCCACAATACAGTGGTGATACAGGTATAGGATGGGCATTTTCACTCCAAAAGGGAGAAATCAGAAAGTAGAAAGAGGTGATGGTCCCACACATGTCCAAAACCTAGTAAGACAAATTCCATTAGACCTGAGGCTTGAGAATAATCCTCTTTGGTTCAGTGCCCTGCCTTGCTGGGGCAGTGGCCTCACCCCCATGACCCCAGGCAGCAGTCCCACCCCCACAGCTCTGTGGGGTGGCCCTGCCCCCAGGCTCCAGGCTGTAGCAGCCTGGCCTGTGTTTAAAATGAGGGAGGTGTGGCCCTACTCTTTGAAACCTCAGAGGCAACCCCTGTGATCTCTGAGATGCCTTCAGGCCATTCTTCCCTCTTCTTGGAGAATAGTACACATCCCAAACAGCTCTATTGTCTCATCTTGCAAAATCCAAGAAGTCTGACAGCCTTCCCTTCTCTATCCCCTTCAATTCAAACTGCTGGTGTTTCTTAGGATATGATCCCTAACCTCTTTATCCAGTGGTAGGTGTTGTCTTCAGAACACGCTTTCTCATTTTTTTGCAATATGGACAAGCTGAAAATTTTATACATCTTTAAGTTCTAGTTCTTTTTTGCTTAATCATCTCCTTCAGCTCATCTCTCCCCTCTCAGGTTTTACTAGAAGAAGTCAGGAGGACTCAGGCCACACCTTGAACATTTTGCTTAGAAATCTCAGCTAAATATCCAATTTCGTCACTTGCAAATTCTACCTTCTACAAAACACTAGAACACAATTCAGCCAGCTTCTTTGCCACTTTGTAAGAAGGATCGCCTTTCCTCCAGTTTCCAATAATGCATTCCTCACTTCTGTCTGAGACCTCACCAGCATGGCCTTTAACAACCGTGTTTCTACTGATCAGTGTTCACGGTGATATGCGTATTCTCTAAAGATGAAAGAGGCTCTTTCTGTTTCTCCTGTTTTCTTCCTGAGGCCTCACCACAATTGCCTTTTAGGTCCATATTTCTACCAATAGTCCCTCTAAGGCGATGTAGACTTTTTCTGATGTTCAAAAATGTTCAAAACTCTTCTGGCCTCTACTCATCACCCAATTCCAAAGCCCCTTCCACAATTTCAGGGATTTATTATATTAATAGCAGCACTCCATGGTACCAAAGTCCGTATTAGTCTGTCAGTGCTGCCATAACAAAATACCACAGAAGGGATGGCTTAAATAACAGAAACTTATTTTCTCACAGTTCGGGAGGCCGGAAGTCCCAGATCGAGGTACTGGAAGATGCAGTTTCTGGTGAGGCCTCCGTTCCTGGCTCACAGATTGCCACCTTCTTGCTATGTCCTCCCATGGCCTTTCCTTGGTGCCTGGGTTGGGAGGGAGAGAGAAAGAGAATGAGAGAACTCTCTGGTATCTTTCCATAGAAGTACACTAACGCTATCTGATCAGGACCCCACACTGACGAACCTCATTTTACCTTATTTACATCATTAGATGCCACGTCTCCAAATACAGCCATACTGGGGGGTTAGGGCTTCAACATATGAATCTCGGGGGGATACAAACATTAAGTCCATAACAGATACTTAAAACGAGCCTTCCGGGCTCTGGAATATCTCATTACTCACCTCCTCCCCTTTCATTGGACTCTTAATGTCTTCTATAAATGGGTAGAATTATCCATATGTGGAAGAGTGGAACTAGCCCTTGAACAGACCCTCATTATTACACTAAGGACATATTCCCCTACTACCCAGGGGGTCCAGGAGTCGGGGCTCAGATGTCGGAGCTCCGCAATTCTAACCCAGTGCATGGATGCCACGTGCTCTGCAGCCTTGGAGTAACATTCTATTAGAGAGAAAGGGAAATTGGGAGAGAGTAGGAACCATGCTCAGTCTCCACGGGGTGTCAGGGCCCTCACGTCTTCCTTACCATTGGTAGTTCTTGGGTTCACGGTCCTGAGCTCAGGATTAACAAGACTCCCAGTTCCAACTGTTCGTACTGGAAGGGAGAGCAGTTTTGGATCCCCCGTGAGGGATGCAATTGAGAGGAGAGTCCTCCAGACATGCGGTCATCGCTGGAGCACCCTGGCAACGCGTTTCCATCTCGGTGCTACCAGCTCCCTCTGTGTGGTGGGTGTGTTTCCTGAGTACCTACTGTGTACCAGACCTGTACTCAAAACGCTCAAATTTAGATTTTATTTAGCAGTACATAG